CCCAGGTGGGTCTTGAACCCGCGGGCTCAGGCAATTCACTCACCTCGGCCTCCCAAAGCGTGGGATTACAGGCTGAGCCACCAAGCCCAGCTGTAAAAATTAAATTTATAAGACATTACTGCAAAGTCACTGTATTACTTGCTCCGTACTAAGAATTACACCTACATGTTTTGGTCACAAATCCTAAAAAAATTATTAATCAATCTGGTCCCTCTATACAGTCTGCACTGACATCAACTGTAGTGTTTACAAAAAATGCAGATATTTGTGTTTTGTTTACGAACAGTGATTATCAATCCAGGACCATCCTAGTTTTTCTAGAATAGTCAGATATGAAAACTACTGAAGTATACTAGAACTTCCAGTATTTCAGGGTTCAAATTTTGTCACCTAGAATGTCTCAACATCTGGGACATGCAAACAATGTCAGACTTTATGTCTCCTTTTGGTGTGTCTTTATTTTATTGGTGAAAATATGCTGATAATATGCAAATACCACCTAGAAGTTCTTAAAAAGAGAGAAAATGGGCTAATAAGTATGAATAGCAACAGTCTTAATGTATAAAATGCAATAAAAGAAGAGTATATTTGTTTGATTGCACATCTAAAAAGCAGTCCACTCACGTTCTGAGGATGGAGCAATGAGGCAGCTTCAGTATCTTTCGTACATAGTCATAGACTTTGCTGCTGCACAAGTAGAGTGTGCATGCAAACTGCTTCATCTCTGCGGAGTACTCGTCTATTTCTCTCCAATTATACGACTCCCACTTAAAATCTGTTAAGACAAGTGTATTTACTCTTCGTGATGAAAAATGTGAATAACATTTTCAGGCAGAGATCACTAGCACCTAGATATAAAAGGCACCGGACATCAAAATTCAAATACAAAGAGTCACATTTTAACTGAGTCTGTTCAGAGATTAAGATCCACTTAGGGCCCTTGATCAGTTTTATCCCATTCACCTTGGATCATTTCACTAGAGAGAGGAGAGAAAAAGGTTTCAACCTGAATCGTGTTTTTCTATTCTGTGGCAGTCTGAGTGGAGACTTTTGGAGGAATAGGGAAGAAAATGAAATAACTGGATAAAATTAAGGCTTTGGATGATGAGGACATTTATCTGTTTTATTTTGTTCCCTGGACACTGCTTATCTCAGGGTGGAAATGAGATATGAGAAACATTCTGGGGCAGAGGACTATTCAGATGGAGCAGACCATCCTGCCCACTAGTGAGACAGGAAACAACCTTCTGCTCCCAGTACTGACCCCTGTTTACTACCTCTGTCCCCTCTTGGAAAAACACAAAGCGTTATCCTCCCTGGAGATACTAGCTCTTTTCTAGAAACGAGACATATTCCTCTTTTCCAAGAATGTAAGTCCAAATGCTTTCATAAAAAAATACACTAGCAATTCTAATTCTGCACCCCTTCAAATATCCTAGCTCACAAAGAGGACGAAGTGTGTTTTCATGGATTTATACAACTACTTTGTAAATTTTTTTTTAAAGGGGAATAGCATGCAATTTCCAAGCTCAAAGAAACTCTGCAAATTATTTAGTTCAATTCCATTGCAAAAAAGACATTGGCAATATATTATGCAGCAGAGCTATTATAAAAAGGTGAGAAGTAGGGCAATCTCCTTGGGTACACTAGGAGCTTTTCTGTCCTCACAATAAATCCTGCTTTCTCAATCCCTCCCCCGCCAAAAAAAGGCGAGGTGCAGTAGCTCACACCTATAATCCCAGCACTTTGGGAGGGTGAGGTGAGAGGACTGCCTGAGTCCACAGGTTTGAGATCAGCCTGGGCAACTTGGCAAGACCTCATCTTTACAATAAATCAAAATATTAGCCAAGCGTGGTAGCACCTGCCTATAGTTCCAGCCACTTGCAAAGCTGAAGTGGAAGGATCGCCTGAGCCCAGCAGGTCGAGACTGCAGTGGCTGGGAACATGCCACTGCCCTCCAGCCTGGGCGAGAGTGAGACTCTGTCTCAAAAAAAAAAAAAAAGCCGGGCTCCATGGCTCAGCCTGTAATCCCGCACCTTTGGGAGGCTGAGGTGAGTGGATTGCCTGAGCCCACGGGTTCGAGACCCGCCTAGGCAGCGAGACCTCATCTCTACAATAAATCAAAAATCAGCTGGGCGTGGTAGCGCGCGCCTGTAATTCTGGCTACTTGGAAAGCTGAGGTGGAAGGATCGCCAGAGCCCAGCAGGTCGAGGCTGCAGTGGCCGCTCCCGGTCTGGGCGACCCAGTGAGACTCCAACTAAAAAAAAAAAAAAAAAAAAAGTGAAAAGCACAGAAGAGAAAGCTGTATAAATCACGTGACTGCTTTTCTGGGTGAAGGGATTATGCATTATTCTCATCATTTGAATATTTATTTGCTGCTGGGTGCGGTGGCTCATACCTGTAATCCCAGCACTTTGGGAGGTGAAGGTGGAGGTGAGAGGACTGTATGAGCTCAGGGGTTCAAGACCAGCCTGGGCAACTTGGTGAAACCTTATCTCTAAAATAATTTAGGAAATTAGCTAGGTGTGGTGGCGCATGTCTGTAGTCTCAGCTACTTGGAAGGCTGAGGTGGAAGGATCACCTGAGCCCAGTAGGTCTAGCCTGCAGTGGCTATGAACATGCCACTGCACTCCAGCCTGGGCAACAGACTGAGACTCCAACTCAAAAAAATAAAAAATAAAAATAAAATAAATATTTATTTGCTTTTCTTATAATAAACATGTTACTTTTATAACTGGAAAATATATGTATGTTTATTCTCATTGCTCACACTGAGACTTTTTACTTCCCTGCTGACAGCATGTTTTCATAGGAATAGTAAATATTTAATGGTATTTCAGAAAATGGCTATTTTGTAAATATTACAAGTTACTGGGAGAAATACCTGAAAATTGAGCTCGGAGCAGAAACTCTGTTTCTTCAGAGAGTAGTTTCTCTTCCACAAGTGAATCAATTAGTTGTAAGCCCTTTCTCTTCTTGATCATCCGGTAGTTTTTTACAGAGAGAATTCTTTTTTTGGACACTTGCAACAACTGCTGCACCTCAGCCAGTCTCTCTGCACCCATTGTCAAAGGTCTCCTTAAACTGTAGTTATGGTCCTCAGTAGCGCCCTCTTGAGAATTCTCTGGAAGCGGTTGCTTTAGGATTTTCTGTTTTGCTTTACCTTTAAGGTGTACACCTTGGGGAATCTATGACAGAAACGAAAAGTAAGATTACTTTAGAAATCATCACATAGTAGATTATCTGTAAAATGCCACTAAACTTAACTAAACACTAAACACAAAGCACTCACATGATTACTTATGAAAGAAAAGGTCACAATCTTTGAGTCTTTAAAAAAATGTATAGTCCATAGGACAATGTAAACACGGTTTTTTAAAACCTCTCTACAGACATATTAATGTAATGCCAATGATTTCTGAAATGACTAAAGTAACTAGAGAAAGGTGGTATTAAATTAGGAAGGTTTCCTGGAAGTGAGTTTTGAAGAGCTCTTTGAAGGTACAATAAAACAGTCTCATGGAGAAGACAGGGAGTTATTTGTGGTTTGAAAGGTAAATTCAAGACAGTTAAAAATGTTCAAATCAATCAAAAGGAACTTGTGAGTCTGGATTTGATACCAACTACATGCTTCTGAACAAAGGAAGAGATATACTGATAATGAAAGGAGATTCCTGTCAATTAGAGGAAAGGAAGGCTAGTGTCAGGATGAACAGTTAGATGGCCATCACAGGCTGTGTAGGAGGTGACAGCCATGTCCAAGAACTGTGGTCAAGAGATAAAAGGAGAAAGTAAAAACAATCGTAAAGAACATGAGAGCAGCATGCCAACACTGGTGACGCAATCACATACTTTTTCCCATATCAATGCTAATAAATTAGGTATATTTTTGGTCAAGTGCAATAACATATTGAGAGGAGCCAAGAAAGGCAGAAAATTTCCAAGTATTATGATAGCCGTCTCATGCTTAAAAGTCTGAATTATTGCCAGGCACGGTGACTCAAGTCTGTAATCCCAGCAATTTGGGAGGCCGAGGTAAGAGGATTGTCTGAGCCCATGGGTTTGAGACCAACCTGGGCAACTTGGTGAGACCTCATCTCTCCAATATATCAAAAAACAATTAGCCGGGCGTGGTAGTATGTGCCTGCAGTTCCAGCTACTTGAAGGGGAAGAATCACCAGAGCCCAGTGGGTCGACGCTGGGGTGGCCATGAGCATGCCACTACAATCTAGCATGGGTGACAGAGTGAGACTCTGACTCAAAAAAAAAGGCTGAATTATTGACTTGTTGATTCTTGTGATTAGTAACTTGTATATATGTATACAGAAATGATTTGTATTTATACAGTTTTTTTAAATGCTCCAAAGCAGGCCAGGCGTGGTGGCTCACACCTGTAATTCCAGCACTTTAGGAAGCCGAGGCGAGAGGATTGCCTGAGCCCAGGGGTTTGAGACCAGACTGGGCAACTTGGCAAGACCTCGTCTCTACAATAAATGGTGTGCACCTGTGGTTCCAGCAGCTACTTGGAAGGCTTAGGAGGAAGGATTGCCTGAGCCCAGTAGGTCGAGGCTTCAGTGGCTGTGAGCGTGCCAATGTAATCCATGGGTGACAAAAAAAAAAAAATTTCCAAAGCAGATGCTAATATTATATGCAGACCTTTTAAAAACTAATTTTCAAAGTATTTAAAACCTATTATTGAATTTATTATAAACTCAGATTTTTTTGTCTGCAAATTCTAGCTATAATAGAGCCATGTTATTTGCAAGGCTCTGTAAGATTGAATTTTGTTTACACCTACATTTAAGTACCTTGTATAGAAAAACAGAAGGCACAGCTCCTTTCTTCAGCTTTCTTCTTATGCCGTAGGACTCAAAGTCACTTTCTTGAAAATGTTTGGAACACAGCATGGCACCCGGTCCTGGAATCCAAATCTTTTTGCTTCTGGGATCCACACGATTAACAGCCCTGATCCATTTTGAGCGCTGTATGGTGTCAGTTGGAAATCTACAGCAATCAGATTAAAGTGCCATTAACATGAAAATATGATAGTAATATTATAGTAGCATTTATTATACGAAGGAGACCCCCCAAAACAATTTATTCATAAAAATGTGTGTATTTATTCTTACACGTTTGAACTTCAATCACCTTCAACATACAGCACCCCATTTGATGCACTACAATTATCGAGACACTTTTTATCGAGAGTAAGTTGTAGTCTTACTCTGTCACCCAGGCTGGAGTGCAGTAGCACACTCATGGCTACTGCAGCCTCAACCTGCTGGGCTCAGCTGTTCCTTCCACCTCAGCCTTCCGAGTAGCTGGAACTACAGGTATGTGTCACCTTGCCCGGCTAATTTTTTAATGTATTCTAGAGACAAGGTCTCACCAGGTTTCCCAGGTTGGTCTTTATTATATAAACCCAGAATTAGCTTCTGGAGGGCGGGCCCCTTGTAGCACCAGGCTTCCCCAACTAGGTGAGTGTTCTAGGAACCCATCGGCATCAGTGTACCAGCCAATCTCATTCCAAGTGATTTTGTTTTGTTTTGTTTTTGTGAGAGGCTGAATTCTGCTTCAGTGAATTTTTTTTTGAGATTCTGTCAGTGCTTTTGCCCATTGCATGAAGGATGAATTGTGAGCACACCTGTCCATAGTGCACTGAGTGTTCAGCAGTTTTTGACCAAAAACAGCATGACCCCTGAGCCCCACCCTCCCTAGTCACCAATCTCGTTCCAAGTGATTTTGTTTTCCCTTTCTTGTCTTATTTAAATCCCATTTTTAACTGCTTTACATAAACATAAAGCCCAGTCAATTAAAAGTGGAGCTGCCTTATCTGATTTCATATTTTTGAAGTCTCAGAAGTTTCCAGAAATCTACTATTGATCTTATCTGTGTCCCTTTGTACAGGGGCACACCTGATACTAAATATCCTATTGCATTTTGCCTTCACTCCCTACACTGAACAGCAGCTGTTCAAATTTAAGTGTTAAAGAATATACGCATCTTTTCCCTTCCTTTCTTGTGGCAATTTTTTGAGTCAGAGTCTCACTCTGTTGCCCAGGCTGGAGTACAGTGGCATGCTCATGGCCACTGCAGCCTGGACCTGCTGAGTTCAGGTGATTCTTCCGCCTCAGCCTTCCAAGTAGTCAAAACTATAGGCGTGCGCTGCCAGCCTGGCTAATTTTTTATTTATTGTAGAGGTGAGGTCTTATCTCTACAGGTCTGCCCAGGCAGTCCTCTCACCTCTGCCTCCCAAAGTGCTGGGATTATATGCATGAGCCACTGCGCCTGGCCTCTTGTGGCAATTTAAATTTTTTGTTTGTTTTTTTAGAGACAGTCTCCCTCTGTCACCCAGGCTAGAGGGCAGTGGTGAGATCACAGCTCATTGCGGCCCTGAACTTCTGGGCTCAAGCAATCCTCCCACCTCAGCCTCCTGAGTAGACGGGTTGGTTATAAGCATGTGCCACCACACCAAGGCAACTTTTTAATTTAGTAGACATGGGGTCTCACTATATTGCTCAGGCAAGTCTTGAACTCCTGGCCACAAGCAATCCTCTTGCCTCAAGCAGGTATGAGCCACCATGCCCAGCCTCTTGCAATTTTAGTGTGTCCACAAATTCCTTGGTACTCCTCCTTTTAAGAAGTGGACCCTAACTTCCCTCCCATCGTGTATGGACTGGATTAGTGATTTGCCAAAGGATGCAAAAAAGCAGGAGTGACGGTGGGTGACCACAGACTAGATCACTAAGGCGTCCTGAGTTTCTCTAGTGGGATGTTTTCTGCCACATCAGCAGCAATCCCGTGGAGGACCCAGATGCTGAGGAACCTCCAGGCAAAGGCCATGCGAGTCAGCCTTGTTTTTTTTTTTTTTGAGTTGGAGTCTCACTCAGTCGCCCAGACTAGACCTGCTGGGCTCCGGCGATCCTTCTGCCTCAGCCTTCCCAGTAGCCGGAATTACAGGCATGCACTACCACACCCGGCTGATTTTTTATTTATTGTAGAGATGAGGTCTCGCTGCCCAGGCAGGTCTCGAACCTGCGGGCTCAGGCAATCCACTCACCTCAGCCTTCCAAAGGTGTGGGATTACAGGCTGAGCCACCGAGCCTGGCTTGAGTCAGCCTTTTTAAAGGAGGTGCCGGAGTCCTCTGCTGACTGCGATCTATGAGCCAGCCTGGACCCCTAGCCAGCCCACACCTGTGTTCCCGACCCTCATGGTAGGAGGCCAAAGTCTTCCCTGAATTTTGTAGTGCTCTGTAATTCCGTGGTAGGAGACAGGGACATGTACTGTACTCAGTTTCCCCATGTTTTTGGAGGTACTTCTATTTTTAGCCTTGATTATAATTTTTTTTTTTAAGTTGGAGTCTCGCTCTGTCACCAGCTAGAGGGCAATGGCACACTCTCGGCCACCGCAGCCTCAACCTGCTGGGCTCAGGCGATCCTTCCACTCAGTCTTCCAAGTAGCTGGAACTACAGGCATGCACCACCATGTTTGGTTAATTTTTTTTTTTTTAAATTGTAGTGATGAGACCTTGCCAAGTTTCCCAGGCTGGTCTCTAACCCACAGGCTCAAGTAATCCTCTTGTGAGAACCTTGGCCTCCCAAAGTGCTGGGATTATAGGTGTGAGCCACTGCACCTGGCCTTGATTATAAAAATTACCTTTCATTCTCTTATGTTATAATCCTAGCCAGAATATGTTTAGAAATTGTGAAACTGGTTGGGCACCACGGCTCACACTTATAATCCCAGCACTTTGGGAGGCCGGGGGTTAGGGTTAGGGTTAGGCCTAAAGGACAGCCTGAGCCTGCAGATTCAAGACCAGCCTGGGCCACTTGGTAGACCTCATCTCTACAATAAATCAAAAATTAGCTGGGTGTGGTATAGCTGGGTGTGGTATTGCATGCCTGTAGTTCATTACTTGGAAGGGTGAGGCGGAAGGATCACCTGGGCCTAGCAGGTTGAGGCTGCGGTGGCTATGAGTGTGCCACTGCACTCCAGCCTGGGCTACAGTGAGACTCCAACTCAAAAAAAAAAATTGTGAAACCAAGGTAATGAAAATCACAAATTCCTCTTCCTGCACCCTCTTTTGACTTGTCTTGGAGACATATTTCTAAGTGCCTGAATGCTTTCTGTATATTTTAATTTAGGCTTTAAAGCACAGTTGTTTGAAGCTGAGACTGGTGAAAATTTGATTTCCCTCAGCGAATTGTTAGAGAAATAATATAGCAGTATGGTAAGACATAATTCTCAGCCATGCCCCCAACCACCTTGAGAACACTGAATCAGAAGACCTGCATAAAGTTTCAATGGCCTTTGCCAGCTGCAAGATGTTAGACCCTGAGCCCCTCCCAAGGCTGGAATGGGTGCCCCCGGCTCCATGTACACCAGGAGCACTGTGAGAATGGTATTAATTGCACTATAAGCACTGTCCAAAGAGAGGCTTTCCCAGGAACAACTGAATCCATTTCTGGGTCTTTCATTTCATTGTCCCAGGAAGATGATGCCACTTGATCGAGAGAGAATGGCTTTTTCAACGTAGGTAGGGCAAATCACTCTTTGCATTGAGTTCTCTTCATATCTGCGTCAGTGAGGTGGCACTTCCTCAAACTGGCAGAGTCTTTAGCCACGCACAGAACCACAGAGAGCTGGCTGTACCCAAGTGATGCTTCAAGCAAGATCCTCACATGCAGAGCCTCTCAACTGGTACGCCTCCTAGGGATCTGGCTAGCTCTCAGGCCAATAACTTCAAGCCAGCCCAAACAGGTTTGGTGGTCTGCCCCAAAATATCAAACAAGTACTTCTATGTGTAAAATGTTATTAAAAAGGCTGGTAAATAGGTTGGAAAAAGGCTAGTAACACAACTACTTTGGGTTCTGGATAAAGTTAAATTAGTAATACTAATCCCACTTTTTTTTTTTTGAATTGGAGTTTCACGTTGTTACCCAGGCTAGAGTGTGGTAGCACGCTCACAGCCACTGCAGCCTCGACCTGCTGGGCTCAGGTGATCCTTCCTCCTCAGTCTCCCATGTAGCTGGGACTATAGGCGCATGCCACCACACTTGGCTTATTTTTTGATTTATTGTAGAGACGAGGTCTCGCCAAGTTGCCCAGGCTGGCCTCGAACCTGTGGGCTCAGGCAATCCTCTCGTCTCTACTTTTACAGGCGTGAGCCACTGTGCCCAGCACTAATTCCACTTTTAAAGCATTTACCTTGCACGCTACACATTTTAAAGACTTAACATTTTAGGCCAGGCTTGGTGGCTCAGCCTGTAACCCCAGCACTTTGGGAGGCTGAGGCGAGTGGAACTGTCTGACTGCCTGAGCCGGCAGGCTTGAGACCAGCCCAGACAACTTGGCGAGACTTCGCTTCTACAATCAATCAATCAATGGCCAGGAATAGTAGCGTGCGCCTGTAGTTCCAGCTACTTGGAAGGCTGAGGCAGAAGGGTTGCTGGAGCCCAGCAGGTCGACAATGGGTGCCTGTGAGCACACCACTGCATTCCAGCCTGGGCGATGGGGTAAGACTCTAACTCAAAAAAAAAAAAAAAAAAAAAAGACACTACAAGGCAGGTTTTTAATCTTACAGAAGGTGAAACCAAGACCAGAGCCATGTACAGTCACCAGTAAATAATCAGCTGGACTGGAATTCATGTCTTCCCAAATCTAAAGCCACCTCTGACATAAGAAAAATCCCTGTTACCACCTCCTATAAACAATAAAGAATTGGTTTACATTGTAAAAGTTTAAGTGGAGGAAGCAGCCCTATCAAAAAAGCTAAACAGGCCGGGCTCGGTGGCTTAGCCTGCAATCCCAGCACTTTGGAAAGCCAAGGCGAGTGGATTCCCTGAGTTCGTGGGTTTGAGACCAGCCCAGGCAACTTGTCAAGAACTCATCTCTAAAATAAAATAAATAAATAAATAAAATAAATAGCTGGGTGTGGTAGTGAGCACCTGTAGTTCCGGCTACTTGGAAGGTTAAGGCAGAAAGATCACTGGAGGCCAGCAGGTCGACACAGGGGTGGCCGTGAGCATGTGTGCCACTGCCCTCCAGCCTGGGCGAAGGAGTGAGACTCCAACTCAAAAAAAAAAAAAAAAAAGAAAAGAAAAGAAAAACAAAACGGATAGGGTGGCTCATGCCTGTAATCCTAGCACTTTGGGTGGCAAGAGGACTGCCTGAGCCCAGGGGTTCAAGACCAGCCTGGGTAACTTGGCAAGACCTCGTGTCTACAATAAATCAAGAAATTAGGATTGCCTGAGCCCGTGGGTTCGAGATTCACCTGGGCAACTTGGTGAGACCTCATCTCTACAATAAATAAAAAATTAGCCGAGTGTGGTAGTGCGCGCCTGTAGTTCCAGCTACTTGGAAGGCTGAGGCGGAAGGATCGCCGGAGCCCAGCAGGTCGAGGCTGCAGTGGCCGGGAGCAGCCACTGCACTCCAGGCTGGGCGACAGAGTGAGACTCTAAGTCAAAAAACAAAAAAAGAAATTAGCTGGGCATGATGGAGCGTGCCTGTGGTTCCAGCTACTTGGAAGGCTGAGGCAGAAGAAGCACCTGAGCTCAGTAGGTGAAAATCAACTCAAAGAAAAGAAAAACATCAGGCATGAGCCACTGCTCATGCCTACAATCCCAGCACTTTGGGAGACCGAGAAGAGTGGGTTGCCTGAGCCCAGGGGTTGCATATCATCCTGGGCAACTTGACAGACCTTGTCCCTACAATAAATCAAAAAATTAGCATAGTGTGGTGGTGCATGCCTATAACGCCAGCTACTTGGAGGCTGAGGTAGGACTGCTTGAGCCCAGGAGGTGGAGGCTGCAGTGAGCTGTGATCGCCCTACTGCACAGCAGCCTGGGTGACAGAGTGAGACCCGGAATAAAAAACAAACAAAAAAACGAACAAATAACTACAGAAGGGGCCGGGCACATAGGCTCATTCCTGTAATCCCAGCACTTTGAGAGGCCAAAGTGAGAGGACTGCCTGTGTCCAAGAGTTCGAGACCAGCCTGGGCAACTTGGTGAGCCCTCGTCTCTACAATAAATCAAAAAATTAGCCAGGCTGGTAGTGCGCTCGTGTAGTTCTGGCTACTTAGAAGGCTGAGGTAAAAGGATCGCCGTAGCCCAGCAGGTCGACGGGGTGGCTGTGAGCGAGCCACTGCACTCCAGCCTGGGCCACGAGTGAGACTCCAACTCAAAAACAAAAAATAAAAAAACTGCAGAAGGCCACACATAATCGGAACTCCCTAAATGGTCTTTCCAGTTTTCTAGTCCTCTGTCCCCAAGTACTTTCCCACCCTCCACATCAGCCTGCTCATCCCAAGTCCAGACTCTCCCAGTGGCTCCCAGAGCGCCGCCCCCTCCACCCCCAAAGCCTTTGTTCTGCCCCTAAGGCAGATGCTCGTTCGACCCCTCCCTCTGTCCCCAGGGCGGCTTCTTTTGTAGGAAAGACCCCACCGCACCCACTCTTCTGCCCCCTTCTCGGCCCTAATCTCGACTTATGGGCCTGTGCCCGTGTGCACAGAGTTGAGTTCAGGCAAGGCTGAACTTTAGAGGCACATGAAACCTCCTGCCACCAACAAACCCGGACGGAGTCAGACGGGCCGTGCCGGGCTCCGCTCAAGACGCTTCACGAAGGCACGGCTCCCGCGGGTCCCCCTCCAAACGGCCTCCTCGCTCTAAATAGCAAGACCACCCTGGCCGGGAGCGGTGGCGCACGCCTGTAATCCCTGCATTGTGGGAGACCAAGGCGGGAGTATCGAGACCAGCCTGGGCCACATGGCAAGATCTCGTCTCTACTTAAAAAAAATTTTAAGGCCGGGTTCGGTGGCTCAAGCCTGTAATCCCAGCACTTTGGGAGGCGGAGGCAAGAGGACTGCCTGTGTCCAGGGGTTCGAGACCAGCCTGGGCAACTTGGCGAGAACGCGTCTCCATAATAAACCAAAAAGTTAGCCGGGCGTGGTGGCGCGCCTGTAGTTCCGGCTACTTGGAAGAAAAATCTTCTAAGGTCGAGGCTGTGGTGGCCGTGAGCGTGCCACTGAGCTCCAGCCTGGGCGACAGAGTGGAGACTCCAACTCAAAAAAATTTTTTTAAATTTATTTAAAAAACCAAGATCACCGAGGGAAAGCAGGTCCCTTTCCGAGGAATTCTGAGAAAAGCGCTCAGACAACGGCAGGCGGCGGGAAAGAGCCGCCAACCCGGAGGTAAACACTGCGCAGGGGCCACGCGAACCCCGAGCTCCCAACGCCCCATCCCACTCCCACGACCGGACGCCACGCACGTCACGTCGCGTCACGTCCACGTCGCGACGCACCGCACGGCCCCGCCCCGCCCCGCCGCCCGCCAGGCCCTGCAGAGAGTGCGCTGGCTGCGAGGCAGCTCTCACACGCACTGGTGGAAGGAGAGGCCGCGCTTCCGGCTCAGCTCGGTGTCCCGCGTGCTGCAGCCCACAGCGGAGCAACTTCGGGTCATCTCTGGTTACGCGGGGCTCCACCTCCCGGGTTCCCGCGACAGTATGAATCACGGCTGGCTTAGCTCCGCCCGCTGACTCGGCGGCGGCGACCTTTATTTGTCAGGAAAGGCGGGCTTTAGAGGCGGGCGCGGGTGTCCACCCTTCTCTCCGTAGGCGCCGCGCTTGTCACCGTAGCCAATCACAGGCTACGTCGCGTTGCGACAGCCATTCGAAGGGCCGGGCGTTACGGCGCGCACGCGGCCGCCCCTCCCCCTCCCCAGGAGGCAAAACGGTGGGTTTTCCTGCTGCCTGCTGGCTTTCATCCTCTTTGTACCCGTTCCGGCTCAATCCGGCCTCATCATGCTTTTTGTCAGGCCGATCCTGAGGTTGCGAACTAGAGGCACGACCAGGATAGAGGCGAATTCAGGAACATGCCGATGGGCCTCCGGGTGCGCTTTCATTAAATGACTGGAGGACGTCGGGAGGAAGGGAACCGAGGAGGAGGATAAAACGCGGTGCCTAGAAATGCTGGAGTCGGAGTGGAGCCAGAAATGAACGCCTTGCTGAGACGCTGTCGTCTGTGTTGTCCCGCAGCTCTCTGATGGGAGATAGCGAGGCTGGTCGTAGGGGTGCGACTGCAGAGAAGCGTGGGTGAGGGGTCTGATGGATGCGCCGATTTTGAGTCAAGAGCCTTTTTCTGGAACGCACTTCCCCCCGGTGAGGGAATTAAGAAGGACAAAAGGCAGGGTCCTCGAGGCTCTCGGGAAACGGTCCAGTGGCGTCTCGTCATCAGCTGTGGTGGGGGCAGGAGAGAGGCGGCAGCGACGGGGTTTTGGTTGGGAATGGGGCATTGTGAATAGCTTTCAGGAAATCTTAGAACAATATCTTTTTTTTTTTCCCTAATCAGAGGTGAAGTCTTGCTATGTTGCCCAGGCTGGTCTCGAGCTCCCGGGCTCTCGCGATCCTCCTGCCTCGGCCTCCCAAAGTGCTGGGATTGCAGGCATGAGCCACCGCGCCCAGCCTTGGTCTTAGAACACTGCCTTATTAAGCTCTTTATGATTAAGGGATGAGATTTCACTTTTCTGAGAAGAAAGAAAACGGACAACACAGGGGATAGTGTTTTTTTTGTCTTTGAGAAGGAGAGCCTGAGCATGTAAGTGGCTTTTTCTCTACTGTGTGACGTTGGAGGTCTCTTACTGAAAACTAGTGTTCTTAACTTTTTTGTTTCTTTGTTCAGCTCACAAAAATGATTACGGAGTTCTAGGCCCAACGAGGTTGCGTCTTTCTCCCTTTCACTCTGCCCGTATTCCAGCCCAGAGAATCCCTGTCAAGGTATGACTCATTCACCCGTTTTCCGTTAGCACGTGCTTACAACTTATCTGAGTGAAATTAGGGGAAGTCTGTTTATGTTTTCTTGAAAGTTCTGCGGCGGAAGGATGCTCTGTGAACTAGAAAATATCAGTCCCTGGGGGAAGTGCAGGCAGATGCTTTGTTGGTGGAATGTGAACAGGGTGGGAGTGGGGTGTGGAGACCCCTGTGGATCTGCACCCTGCCATCCCCACCACTCAATTGCGGCCAGTTCTGTTGGTTAACTGTTAGAGCCTTTTCCAAATCCTGGCAGAGGCTACAGAAAAATGATGTGATTGTTTTCAGTTATCTTTGCTTCTAGTAACTCATATCCGGTGATTAGACCTTTTCACTGCTGTTCACATAATGAACCATTGTGATTATCAAATATGTGAATGAGGATATGTACCTATATTAAAGGTAGTGTTTGCAAAGGCATTAACCATTGCACAAAAAATTTTTTTAAATATTTTTTTTCCAGGAATTTTACCCTCAAAGATGTCAAGGAAAGATACATGGGTCTTGGAAGATAATTACTCAAAACATGAAGGGAAGGTAGTATATCTTTCTGTTTTATTTATTTATTTTTTTTGAGGTGGAGTCTCACTCTGTCTCCCAGACTGGAGTGCAGTGGCCACTCCCAGCCACTGCAGCCTTGACCTGCTGGGCTCCGGTGATCCTTCCGCCTCAGCCTTCCAAGTAGCTGGAACTACAGGTGCACCCTACCACGCCCGGCTGATTTTTATTTATTGTAGAGATGAGGTCTTGCCAAGTTGCCCAGGTGGGTCTCGAACCCGCAGGCTCAGGCAATCCACTCACCTCAGCCTCCCAAAGGCGCAAGATTACAGGCTGAGCCACTGGCTTATCTCTCTGATTTATTTTTTCTGAGCCTGGCTTATCTCTCTGATTTATTTTTTCTTATTTTTATTTTTTTTGAGTTGGAGTCTCACCCTGTCGCCCAGACTGGAGTGCAGTGGCCACTCCACTCTGTGGAGTGCAGCAGCCTCGACCTGCTGGGCTTCGGCGATCCTTCTGCCTCAGCCTTTCAAGTAGCCGGAACGACAGGCATGCGGTACCACGCCCGGCTCATTTTTTGATTCATTGTAGAGATGAGGTCTCACTTGCCCAGGTGGGTCTCGAACCCGTGAACTCAGGCAATCCACTCACCTCGGCCTCCCAAAGGCACGGGATTACAGGCCAAGCCACCGAGCCTGGCCGATTTATCTTTCTGTTTTAAATGTATTAAGTATTACTGGAACTACAGCAGTGAGTTGGAAATGGAGGACTGTCAAAGTAGAAAATGGATTTATGAAGGCTTTGCTGAAATTTAGCTACCTACTTTCTGGTACAGAATCTCAATAATTGGCCATTTGGGAAATAAGAATAGCAGCTAATGTTTATTGGCCAGTTACTGTGGGCCAGGCCTTGTGCTAATAAGTATACGGAGAGAGTTGGTTTTGTTAAACAGCCTTTCTCATAATGACTCTGAAAGCAGATACAGACTTTTGCTTTCTAGGATTGGGGTCTGACTTGTTGAACACCTGCCCTTTTGTCAGATTCTTGCCTGGTTTTGTTAGAATCTTTCATTAGTTCTGCTGTAGCTGACTCGTTTTTTTTTTTTGTTTGTTTTTTGTTTTGCACTGGAGTCTCACTCTTGTCACCCAGACTGGAGTACAATGGCACGATCACGGCCACCTCAGTGTCAACCTGCTGGGCTCCGGAGATCCTTCTGCCTCAGCCTTCTAAGTATCCAGAATTACAGGCATGCACTACCACGCCAGGCTAATTTTTGATTTATTGTAGAGATGAGGTTTCCTGAGCTGGTCTCACCCACGGGCTCAGGTAGTACACTCACCTTGGTCTCCCAAAGTGCTGGGATTATAGGCTGAACCACCAAAGCTAGCTGCTGACTCATTCCTGTTCGCTGTTTTTTGCTTTAGAGAGCCTTGGAATTTTAAGATGATTGGTGACACAGTTTAAAGACAGTTAATTCATAAGTTGTACATTTACTTATTGGGTATAGATTGTAACCCTCTGTATTAGTTGGCCTTAGTAGTTTAAAACAGGGGTCCTCAAACTCTGGTACCAGTCTGCAGCCTGTGAGGAACCTGGCCACCTACAGGAGTTTAGCAGAGATCTGCCTTCTGTCAGATCAGCAGCATCAGGTTCTCATAGGAGCACCAATCCTATTGTGAACTGTTCCTGCAAGGGATCTAGGGATGCTACATTCCTGTAGGAAATTTTCTCTAGAGAGTATAAGAAAACTCATTTCACAGTCAGAATACTCTGCTCTGATTTTTTTTTTTTTAGATTAGAAAAATATTTATAAAGTAAATTAGAAAGAGCAAAAAAAGGAGATTTCCCCATCCCCAAGGTAAAGGAGAGGGCCAAAGCTTAAGAAAAATAGCCTGACCATAGCTCAGAGAGCACATGGCCATACCATAGCTTAGCAAGACAATGGCCCTCCCTTAATTCTTTAAGAAACACAGTCTGATTACTTAGATGTAGTTACACTAAGACTTGCCTTTGGGTGGAGTGAAAGTACAGATGCAGCATCATTGAAACAGTTTTACTTTTTCCCCCAAGCTAGATTTTTATCCAGTATGATGAGCATATTTTACTAAACACTTGGTTCTCTTTCTGCTGCTTTTCTCCCCCTTCTGTGGGCTTCTGCTTCTCTCAAGAGCAGAATATAGACCTTGTCAAGCAATCAGAACGTTTCTGGACAGCAGAATGCTAATTAACTCATCACTGCTCAAAGTTCTTTGTTACAAAAAACCCTCCCCCTTTCCCTTTAGTGTCTTGGTGCTGCTTCTGATAATTGAAAACCCAGTCATAGAATTAAAAGTCATATCATATCTGTTCTCCATTAGAGAACTGAAATATAGGCTGGGTGCAGTGGCTCATGCCTGTAATCCTAGTACTCTGGGGGGAGGCCAAGGTGAACCTAGGAGGTCAAGGCTAAAGTGAGCTGTGGACACAGTGCTGCACTCAAGCCTGGGAGACAGAGCAAGACCATGTGTGAGGGGAAAAAAGAATTGAGATGTATAAAAAGTATGCATTTTATATATTTGTAAAGGCTAAGTGGCTGGGTACAGTGCTCCCACCTGTAATCCCAGTACATTGGGAGGCAAAGGTAGGAGGAGCACTTGAGCCCAAGAGTTCAAGACCAGCCTGGGCAATATAACAAGACCATGTCTCTAACAAAAATTTTAAAAAATTAGCCAGGTCTGATGGCTCACGCCTGTAATCCCAGCACTTTGGGAGGCAGAGGCGAGATTGCCTGAGCCCAGGGGTTCCAGACCAGCCTGGGCAACTTGATAAGATCTCATCTCTACAATAAAATAAAGTAAAAAAAAATAGTGGGGCATGGTGGTGTGCACCTGTAGTTCAAGCTTCTTGGAAGGTTGGGGCGGAAGGATTGCCTGAGCCCAGCAGGTTAAGGCTGTGGTGACCATGAGCGTACCACTGTACTCCGGCCCAGACAAGAGTGAGACTCTGACTCAAAAAAAATTTTTTTTTTGCTGGGTGTGGTGCGCGCCTATAGTCCCAGCTACTCAGGTGGCTGAAGCAGAAGAATTACCTAAGTCCAGGCGGTCGAGGCTGCAGTGAGCTGTGATTATGCCACTGTACTCCAGGCTAGGTAACAGAGTGAGACCCTGACTCAAAAAATAAACAAGACCAGCCATGGCAGCTTGGTGAGACCTCGTCTCTACAATAAATAAAAAATAGGCGGGCGTGGTAGTGCATGCTTGCAGTTCTGGCTACTTGGAAGGCTGAGGCAGAAGGATCGCTAGAGCCCAGCAGGTTGAAGCTAGGGTGGCTGTAAGTGTGCCTCTGCACTCTAGCCTGGGCGATCGAGTGAGACTCCAACTCAAAAAATAAAGATAAACAGAAAATAGAAGCTAAATAATGAAAATCTTGCACTAGAATGAAGTTCAGAAAAAGAAGAAAGTATGTATGTCCAATGATTAAACTTTTTCCACTGCTGTTCACATCATGATTTGTTGTGATTAATGTATGTGGATGAGGACATAATAGAAAAAATTAAATTATGAGGTTTGTATATGCGATTTAGTTTCGGTTTACTGATTTGCCTGTCTGAATGTTTTTCCTTTTAGGAATAAAATTGAAGAATGTTTTTCCTAGAGAACATCATTTGACAGATTTATTTGATCAAGAATATGAACATTAGGCTTGGTGAGGTGGCTCACGCCTATAGACCCAGCACTTTAGGAGGCTGTGGTGAGAGGACTGCCTGATCCCAGGGGTTCAAGACCAGCCTGGGAAACTTGGTGAGACCTCGTCTGTACAATACATCAAAAAATAAGCTGGGCGTGCTGGCGCGTGTCTGTTCCAGCTACATGGAAGGCTGAGGCAGAAGATCACCTGAGCCCAGCAGGTTGAGGCTGTGGTGGCTGTGAGCATGCCACTGCACTCCAACTTGGGCAATACAGTGAGACTCCAACTCAAAAAACAAAACAAAACTGCAGAATAGATCAGATCTGAGCAAAACATTGACATTTGAGTATAACATAGACACTGACCTGTGGATTAAAATTTTTTCCTTAATTTGAAGATAACATAAATGTGATTTCAAAGATAATGTAGTTTTTCAAGTTAATAGATTAGGAAAGGCAGTTGGGGGAATGGAACTTTTTTTTCATATTAAAAGGTTAAAGCATGGGATGGAACCTTTACCTTTTATAGCTATCTTTTCTTGAAGTAATGATGTAATCCTTTAAGCTCCTGAAATTCTTAGAGATCGCCTGCTCCAAGGTTTAAGTTTGTTAAACTAGTGGATACTCTATAAATGGCTCTTGGATGGGCCGGTGGATGACTGTCCTGTAGCTTAAGCTTTTTTCAGGAACAGTAGGTAAGAAAATGGTAGGAAGCTGGGAGTCTTAGGTCTAACACTGGTTCTGTCATTGTTAGGGATGTTATTTGTGTGTGTTTCTCAGATTTGAGAGATTTGAGGGATTTTAAAAGCTCATGGAAAATGCGTTTTATGAAAAAACTATGCATAGATTTTAGTCATTTATTGCACAAAATAAACTTATACTAACTTGTAACATGTCTGAACAGCATCTAGGTTGAGGCAGTAAGAAGGATAAGACATCAGTTTGAAAGGAGCCTCTATCAAAGAAACATGAAATCTGCCAAGATTGAAAAAAAAACAAACATGAAACTCATAGTGAAGACTGAGTTGAAGAAAGGTGAAATCACTGCTGCTTTATGAAAAGCTTACAGGGACCATGTCCCAAAGAAGTCAGCAGTTTACAAATGGATAACTCATTTTAAGATGAGATGAGCCTGCAACGGCAGACCTCCACATCAGTTTGAAAGAACAAAATTAATCTTGGTTATGCCCTAATTGAAGAGAACTAACAGTTAACATCAGAAATAGCCAATAATCATGGACATCTCAGTTGGTTCCACTTACACAATTCTGACTGAAAAAGCTGAACTTTTGTTCAATGAGTATCAAAACTGTTGAGCCCAGATCAGCTGCCCACAAGAGCAGAGCTTTTGGTGGAAATTGGAAACAAGAGATCAAGATCTTGAAGCATTTCTTCAAAGAATTTTTTTTTTTTTTTGAGTTGGAATCTCACTCTGTCACCCAGACTGGAGTGCTGTGGCTGC